AGATAATAAAAGAACCTCCTCTCCCTCCTATAAATTGGAGCGAGACAAGCTCTAACAATTATCCTGCAATCAGAAGTACTCCTTGATCCATCAAAACATGCTCATTGCAGCTTATACCATTAGAATCCAAACTAATATTGCTATGTCTTGACCTCTTAGTAAAATTAGGATACAGCCCCCAATATTTAATATTTCTAAACTAATACTTCTACTTGACACTACGTTGCAGCATACACACACACACACCAGTTTGGCTATGCAATAGCTTAGATATAAATCACATACATATCCTGTTTCCAGAATACAGACAGGATTTCCTACAGGAGCCTTTTCCACTTTTGTGGATTTGTACCAGCTCCTGCTCATCTTTATACCTCTCCCTAGTTTCAGCAGACTTCTTGTGTTATTTGCTCTGATTCAAACATCAGTAATAGATCTCAAAGATACACACGCAAAACAAACAAGTCACTGGGCAGAAAATTAGTTATTTTTGCCTCGGGTTCAATATTCTCTTTTCCCCTTTACAAAGTTATTTGAATAACTTAATTCAAGGCCATGATTTCCGTTATGTTTACTCTTTCAGAAAGTATATTTCTCCTTTGCTGTTTTTGCTGCTTTCATTTCTTTGTTATTTAGCCTGTAAAGGTTAGTTCATGTTTAAGATTGTTCCTTTTTATTTTCATTTTTTTCCTTCCTCTGTGGCTGTCACTATGTAGTACTGAGGAACATAATGAACAGAGACATGCATATTATGTTGTTCTAAATGTCAGAATATGGCTGTGAAGAAAGAGTAATGAAATGAAAAGTACTGTCTCACCCTTTTTTTTAAGAAAAAAAAAATTCCTCCTTTGTTGCATTTCGTTGTTTTGCTTTTTTTTTTTTTTTCTCCTCTCTCTCTTTTCACTGAGATTCTTTTTCTCCCCTCTTCCTTATCACTTACCAATCCATACAACCTAACAAGAAAACTAGAGCCACAATAAAAGGAAGCTAAAATACAGTCTTACGCCAGCTTTGCTTTGAATATGGTTGCCTCTTCCAACTGCAGAGAAATGCAAGACTATTCTGTTCTTCATTAAAAGCAGCATTTGAAGTAGGATTTTCTGCCATAACAGGCATGGAAATAGAAATCGTCTTCATTTTCTGTGCTAACAGCCAAGAGCAGAAAAGATTTGATCGTGGGTTTATTGCATCCCCAGTGATCATACCAACCATGGTATAGCCCTAAGAATGTTTGCTTTTTTGAATTCTTTACAGAAAGTGAAAAAGCCCTAGGAGATAACAGGACAGAAGGCACAGTGTTTTAGCACACTCACCTGAGAATTGACTGACTGACAGAAGAGGTACTTGAACTTGGATAGCCCTTTCCCAAAGGAAACCATTTCCCCACATCTATTCTATCAAGAACTAGATACTGTAGGAATGTAAGTGGAACCCACCTTAATTCAAAACAGCATTTTCAAAGAAAATGTACTTTGTTAATAATTCCTGAAC